GATGTACTTGTGGATAATTGTGTAGTTAGGAACCAATATGCTTTCCTTGTATGATACAGAGATGTGTCAAATAACCATCTGCTTATTTCAGGTGTGTTTTTTAATTTACTGTTTAAATATGGCCAAAAATTTATTTTGCATAAAACTTTCTATTGTCCTAAAACAAAGGCAAGTTTATTTGTTTCAATTCATGTTGAGGCCATAATAGTCTCAGACATGCAGTTAACACCTTCTTCTGGGCAGATAAGCAATGCAAAGTGGACCCTCCATGTTGACCCATTCACAGATCCTTCTGGGATGGTTTAAATGAATGTCTTTCCAGACAATGCGATTTGACTCCATTTGTACCAGCTGGTGGAATTCAGCTGGGTTTCTACAACTCTCAATTATCAATTATTGTCCTGGAACTTGAGCACCAAATAGTGTTGGTTTTCTCATCTTCCGTTCTTTGCGTTCTAATATTCCATAGTGGTGTAGACTGCTTGTGTCTTTTTTTTTTTGTGCTCCAACTTCTTTTTTCTAAATGTATTTTGTTTTTAAAGCAGCCTGGGTCAGAATATTTTAGAGTCAAGGACTAAAGAGGCATCAGTTCCCTCGATGAACATCATCCCCGAGAATTCTATGTGCAAGACTGATTCACTTGATTGTCAAGGAATCGGGTACTGAAATTAATAATTCCTTGATATTTTCCTTTATTTAGTAAATCTCTTTTGTTTTTGCCTTTCAACTTGAACCATTTAAACATTCCACTGTGGAATATTTAGAAATGGAAATTTAAAGTCTTAGCAATATCAATTTCCCTCTTATCTTCCAAAACAGATCACTTCTCCTCTCTCCCTCCCCTCAATGCCCCCCTACAGTGCCCCACATACTGTTCAAGTTCATAGTCACTTTTTTGTCCATTGTTCCTCACCACACCGTTTCTTTTGGTTGTTGGTTTCTAGTGGGATTGATGAACACCTACATAGCTTTTCCACAGTGATTATACCATTGCACATAACATTCAACAATGCACAGGGTTTCTTTTACTCCATCACATGCCAACATTTGTGATCAAATATCTCTTAAAACCATGAGAATATATCTTGATTTTTTAATTTGCATTTCTCAGATGATGAGTGATACTGAACATTTTTTTCATTGCCTGTTGTTTATTACTATACCTTATTTGGAAAAAAAAAAGTCTGTTCCCTGTTTTTAATCAGGTTGTATTTTGCTTTTTCATTTTATTTTGTTACTGATGTGTACGAGTACCTTTTACATTTTGACATCAATTTCTTATTAGATTCATTGACTAAAAATAGTTTTACCTCTCAGGTCATTTTCATTTCTTTGATTGGGCCCTTTGTTTTAGATGAGCATTTTAGTTTGATTTAGTCCTTTGTTTCTCCGTTCACTGTACCTATTATATGATATCCAAAAACATTAAAAATATCTAAATCTTTTTTTTTTTTTTGTAAAGGGGCAGAAGAGGAGGGGTGAAGGGAGGGCAGGGACAAGGGGAAAAATGTGAACCAAGACCTGTCATGTGAGGTACAAGATCCCAATAATGGATAGAACTGTACTGCATACCTAAAATGTACCAATAAATTCAATGAGGACTAAACAAATAAATAAAATAAAAAAAGAAAGAAAGGAAAAAAGTAAATTCAACATAAATAAATACCTAAATCTTTACCGAATTTTGAAGTATAAGTCTGGCTGCATTCTGACTGTGAGAGTTGAGCTTCACCGATTGGTTTGAGAGCTTCAGTATTAGTAAAGCACACTTGTGGGTGTGTGTGAGTGAGACGTGGATGTACCCTACCTTAGAGCCAGCCAACCATAGTCCACACCTCTACACACCACAGCGGAAATAAACCTTTCCTCCTTTAACTTTGTGTGCTGGGTGCTTTGTTTCAGCAATGAGAAAAGTAAAGAAAGCTAGAGATAGTGATATGACGCACCATCATGAGTAAATCTGTCTATGTCTCATTCAAAGAGATTCATTACAAAGGAATGGTATTATTTCAGCAAATATACATTGCATGAATGATTTTATCAACTACTGAATAAATGAAACAATGCTAACCTTACTCCTTTATGTTCGAGAACTTGTTTTCAGGACTGAGGCAGAGAAGTTATTTCAAAGTACCCGTAATATTCATTGGTCATCTAGTAGAAAATTTCCAGAATATGTACTTCTTTTTCATGACTTATTCATTTACAAGCCACAAAGTCATTATTGCCCTTTATTTCTTATATCATGAATTCAATTAAAAATATTAGGCCAGAACTAGTCCATTTCTGGATAATTTTGAAGTAAGGTGTCTTTTAAATCCAACAATATAGAGCAATTCCTGGATTCAGGTTCATCTGTAACCACCTTGCCTAATGTAGGCCACAAATCCAATTTCTTGTTGGGACAGGACAAAATTCATAATATTTGAATAAAAAATTTTGTAGCAATTCTGTCTCTGATATTAATCTTATAATCAATATAAACAGCTGAACTTTTGATATATGATTCCTTCACAGCTTATTACCATTATTTAATTTTTAATAAAATTACAAAGTTATTTGAGCCTCAAATATTTTCAGGTAAATTGGCATTACTTTTAAAAAACAAATGCCACATCATATCATAATACCATTCGCCACAACTTGGATAGTTGCATTAAATTAATACGAATTGAAATATAAATTCCTCAGTAGCAAAAAAGTACATAGTCATTGAATGAAATACAATAAAACCTTTGAGAGTAACTTGCTCTGCAAGGGCTCCACAAGAAGAGCAAACATTTTGAATACATTTTTACTTGATAAATAAGTGATGTATTGCAACGTGATTAGTGTGATACCAAAGCTCACATGATCACAACTGAACCAATAGTTCTGCATCCCCCTCCCCCACGTGGCTTTGTGGCTGATCATCTCCCAACACCCACATCTCATCTACAGAGGAGGAGGGGCAGAGGGAAGAGAACTGCTCTCTGACTGTGACTAGTGAGATGTGCAAAATGTGGGAAACTGCAAAATTTTGTAGAAAACCATCACCCCGATAAGGCTGTAACAGTATAAGCGATAAATCTGTTTAACTACAATGCTATGCCACATTTCCATGAAAACCTCCAAAAGAGGGAAAAGCAAGTGTCCCTGCATAGGTTCCTTGTAAAGTTATGCGAAAGGAAAGACATCATTAGGGAACAGCAGTGGTCCTGTGAGCAACAGTGAAATCATTCTGCATGATGGCCGTCCTCTCCCTTGTCTCTCTCACACAGGCATGAAGGTTTTCAAAGTTGTAAATGCAAGTTAAATGTTCATTATATTTTGTATTATATTGAAAGATTAAATGATTTTATAGGACTCTTTTTGAGTTGTGGAATGGATCATCTGAATTTCCGTTATTTCTTTTGGGGAAGTTCACTTTCATCTCCAAATTCTTCGGATTACATATATATTTTCTCAACAAATTATGCTCAGAAACAAAGGTATTACCTCATTTACATTTTCTGAATTGTGGTAGCTTTATGTCCTGACCTGATAGAGAACAACATAAGCTTGGAAATCAAAGTGGCCAGGCTCAATTCTCAGCACTTTTAGATATCAGTTAATGGTGAGGAGCAGGTTTAACTTTATTAAATATTGGGTTATAGATTGTGCATTAGTTGAATTAACATTAACTTTTTGGAAATCTATTGTATTCTTCTTTGACTCTGATTAGTAACAATGAGTTGAACTTCAAGGCAGTAAATGATAAGTGTTCTCCCCCAAAACGATAAGTACTTGTGGTAATGCACTCCGTAAGATCATTTTACACCTTCCACAATGTGTACACACCTTTCAAAACAACCTGAGATAATTAATAAATACATGCAATTTTTACTTTTCAATCACATTTTCCAAAAATAGCTTCTTTGATTGGTGAAAAGATTAAATATGATAAAGGATATGAAGGGCTTTACACATGATTAGGAATTAGTGAATACAAAGCATGATTATCACTGCCTGCAGAACAATGATCTCAGTGCACGATATGGCTACAGCACCCCTAGGCTGAGCATGGACTGTTTACTATTTTCAAATGTGGGTCAAAAGCAGGGTTCACATGAAATTACCTTTATAATAGACTTGTCTGATATAAGCATAAAGCAACATATATTTCATAGGGGCAAAACCACCAACAACAAATGCTGGAAAGCAATTTTTTCAAGTCTGCATCAAATATGTCTTCATACATTTGGATATAATATTTTTTCACTTACTATAAAATTAAAACAGCTAGAAGAACTATTCACAGACATCAGAAGAAAAGATGAAGGTGATTTGATGATTATATAAATTCTTATTTTCACAGCTAAATTTCTATGTCTTTCCCTACTTAAACCACAGTTTTAGCATTTTAATATTTGTATCATAAAACTTGAGAATTTAATATATTATAGATAAACAAATCTCTGGTTATAGTTAGTATTCCTAAGTATATGAGAGCCAGATATTTAGGAACAGCAAGTTAATAAGGTTTGTTAAAATTACTTTTAATTAAGTAAGGAATAACATTTCTCCAGTGACTACTATCCTACTGTATTTTAATTGTTTAAATTGCTGTTTTATTCCAAATTATTCTTTTCAGTTATTTATTAGGAATTCATCCAAATCAAAGTGCTCAAATAAACCTAGATTGCAAAGAAACCTATGGTTTGGGCTATATAAAGATAGAGTTTTTGTTGTGTAACCTATTTACATTCCTTTTCAAAATCTTAATACAATTACAATAATGAAAATAGACTTGAGAATACATGAGGATATTAGCATACTCAAGGAAAATCTTGTGAAGTTAGAAATCTTGATTCTAGTACTAAATACCTTGGAACATTGGTCTATGTCGGCTGTCGTACTTAAAGAAATGTATTTCTCCATGTTTCTCCTAAGCTCATGAAAACTCAGGCAGCAGCCTGGAAGCATCACGTGGAGCCCAGTCAGAGGATAAGAAGGCTCCGTGTGACAGAGCTCAATTACTGGGAAGCAGCAAGGAGCTTTGCAGAGAGCTTAGGTGAAAAGTGAAGAATGCAGACAGCTGAGCATGAAGGTTGGTGAGCAGGGCATCAGCAGGACGGAAGACAAGTGCCTGACCTCTTGCCTAGGCGATGGAGTACTTAAGTGAGCTTACTTGGACATTGCAGAAGTGAAAAGGAATGAGAGTGAGTCAGTTTCCTGTGTGAAATAGAGTCCTTTATACAGGTCTCACAAGTGTATCCCTCCTCTACAGAAAATATACATGAGTATGTAAAACTGAGATATATTGCTGTAAATAATATATAAACTATTATAATGAAATGCATAGTACATAGGTACATTTTTCTGTAAAATTAGAAAGCAAGTGGCAGAAAATATTGCATTCATTTGCCTAGGAAAACATACGTAAATGTTTTTTCCTTTGTATTTTGTCCAGAAATGTACTTTTTTCATTTTAATTTTTATATTCTGAATTCTAATCATCATGAAAATAGTAGTGTTTTATAAATCTCTTTGGAATTTTATACCATCTTGAAAGATGACCTTATTACAATTTTTAAACCGATTCTTATATAACTTTGTAGTATACATTGAATTGTCCAGGAGTACATACTTTTTTATATAAAAAATCTTACCATAGAAATATTATGAGGCTTAACATTTCCAACAAAAGAATTAATTAAATCAGAAATTCCCTGATTAAAATTTCTCAAAGCTTCATTAACCAAACAGTATGATTTGTTAATCAGATTAATTGAGAGTTACAATTGTCTATGAACCTAAAATGAATCTAGTCACAAATTTCAGTTTTCATTGTAGTGCTGCAGAAGTGTATGATATATATTTCTATCTGTGCATAAGGACAGAAATAATTTTATTCTATGGCTCCTATTACTTTTATTATGTTTCTACTGTTAATTCTGTTGCCACTTATTTCTACCATAATCATAATTTCATTTTTACTTCTATTATGTTTCTGAGTGCTCATATATATTATATTCAGCAGCACATATATATTATAATTTTTATAATGAGAATGTATTACTTGTTTGTATTTCATACCTAATTCAAAATAAAAGTGGGTAAAATTCAAATAACAAGAGAAAAGATGCTTATTACTAGAGGAAAAATAAACATGTTAATAATGAATTTTAGCTTTTTATCTGATAGAGCTACATTAAAAAATCTATTCCCATAATATTTCCTCAAGTTTTTTTAAGTTACACTCTTCTTAATGATTTATTATATCTTATGACATCTGTGAATTAATTTCTATTGTTTTCCTTCTTGAATATTTTTAATTAAAACATTTGATGATTTAAATTTTTTGAAGATTTTTCAGTATTTCACAATGGGAATATATCCATAACTGAGATTCAGTTGAGTTACTATCACAATCCCAAGAAAAGTTTCATATATATAGCTATGCAAAATAATATTTTTAAAGTTTGTGTAAAGATAAATGTACAGAAGAGTCAGACTGCCCTCAGATTAATATAATTATTACATTTATTTGTATTATTACAATTATAATTATGAATATATATTTATAAATACTCAGGGCAAGAAAAATATGCTTCACTGCTCATGAAAATGGCAAGGTTTATTTTGAAGCTATCATAACTAAAGTTCAACCATGGTATAGCTTAAAATAATGCTTAAAGAATATGGTAACTGACCTGCATTTATCTCAGATATTATGAAGAAACTAGAAGTTTTTGTGCAAGTGAATCATTTGACCTGCTTTCCATTTAAAAGCTATTACTCTGGTTAGGGATTTAGCTGCTAGGCCAAATATGCCAACAGTCATGTTAGTGGTCACTGTGGTTGGCAAGAAGGGAGAAAATAATTATCCCATGAATAGAATGGAGATAAATGATGGGATATACAATAACGTGTTAAAGAAGGGATAACTTGTTACTATTGTAAATGGACTGTGAACTGTGAAAATGCTGGAGTCTGGTCTGGAGCATATACTGTTCAATAAATGGATGAATTTATTAACTTTATATAAATTGGGGCAGAAGTAGGTATGAAAATAGTCATGGCTTACTCATATGTGGGTGACACTTGAAGTGGTTTTTAGATATGCAAGGGGAAATGCTTTCAAAACAGTGGTGTATATGAGTTTAGACTCAAAGTCCAAGATGAAAATATAGAGTACTCAGTGTACAACAGCACTTAAATCATAAGTCATGATTGAAATTCTAGGACAAGAGAGTGATTACTGTTTAAAGAGAGAATGATCAGAACCTGCCTCATATATAGAAATGGTTGGAGAAGTATCAGAATAATCAGAAAGGTTAGGATTCTGCACAGATCACTACTAACAAAAATGCTAAGAGATGAAGTTAAATGAGATGGGCTCGTCCATCAACTTGACGAAATTAAGATCTTAAATGGCAATGTTAAGAATTATTTCAGTTCAGGGATGAGATACAAAGATCGTAAATACAGGCAATTATTTCAATGTATTTTGGTAAAAAGGAAATTTAAAAGTGGAATTTGGAAGAAGATACACTATCAGAGAAAATCTGACTAAGAAAGCTTTTAGTGGTTATAATCTAGCATAATAGAAACACTGATAACAGGAAACAGAGAAGACACAATGAGGAACTTGGCGGGAACACTAAAGTAAAAGATGTGGGAATGAAATAGAAAGGACAGGTGACAGGAGAAGCATTCCCTGGACTTATAGAAAGGTCACAACTTAGAATAAAAGATAATGCGAGAGGGCTGGGAATTTAGCTCAATGGTTCTGCTGCCTACCTTGCAAACACAAGGTCTCGAGTTCAATCCCTGGTACAAGAAAAAAAAAAAAAAAGATAATGAGAGAAAGCAGAGGCATAATGTAGGGAGATGACAAACACTAATGAATTTCCAGTTTGAAAACAAGTCTATGACTGTTGAATTTATTTCACTGAAATTAGAAACAAGGCCAATACTCAGGAGTTTGATTTGGGGTTTGAAGTTTGAGGAAAGTTCTGAAAACTAAAACTAAAGGTTGGAAAAATAAAGAGTAGGAGAAATATCATTGGAGTTCTTGGTATTTCCTAGCACAAATTATAGTTTTCTAAATTAGTTGTAAGCAGAAAAAAATAACAAAGAGAATATTGCTTGTGAATTTGTGTTCCTCCACCTAAAATGCACCTAAGGACGGGGCCAGGGATTTGGCTTAGTGGTTCTGCCACGTGCTTTGCAAGTGCAAGGTCCTGAGTTCGATCTCCAGTACCCAAAAGTAAATTAATTAATTAAATAGAGTACATCTAAGGCAATTAGTATCCACTGGAAGCTAAATGATAATATAGATTATAGATTATGAAGAAATTCTCACATAAAACTAATGAAGGATTAATACAGAAATATATATAAACACTTGTTCAAATAAATGTAAAATAAATAATATGATATAATTCAACAATTAGAGAGAAAAAGACAGAAAGATTCAGATAATTTGTTATACTAAGAGAAATTCTTCCATGAAGTTGGTCTCTGGTGCCCAGCTTTATGGAACTGGCCATTCACGGGTAGCGTTTGGTTCTGAGTCTAGAAGCAGCCGATGTATCATAATCTTTCTGCCACCAAGCCTTTCTCTGGTGTTTCACTTGAGATTGCTCCCACGCACAAGCATCCTACACTCAACCACACCTCCGATCATCAGGCATTAGTATCCCATAAGGAGGGTGCACATTAGATCACATGCATGTGCAGTTCACAGGAGGGTTTACACCTATGAGAATCTCATATCAATGCTGATATGGACTGGTGTTTAGGACCGGGATTTAGGGAGTGATGTGAGCCACGGGTGGCATTTGAAAACACGAATGAAGTTGCAATCACTTGCAAGCTGCTCACCTCATTCTGTGGCCCTGGCCCAGTTCCTAACAAGGCCACAGACCATACTTGCCCATGGCCTGATGATTTTGGATCATTTTGCTGCAGATTATATAGAAAAATAGTACTTTTTCCACTTGACAGAGGATAGAACTAGAGAGTTTAGATGATTTGTTTTCTGTTGCACCATTCTTGACGGTCAATGAATCTGATTAAAAGTAGTACTTTGATCTACCACAGAGATGTTTTCTCCTAACATGTCTCACTCATGATTGACTCTACATAGCACAAAACTAAAATTTCATCTTCAGATTGGATCTATACTTTCAAACAGAGTGATAACATGACATAATATCTTTATTGAAATCCAAACTCATATGAAGTGAGTTTAAAATAAAATGACTACCTATAAAATCCTTCATGCAGTCCCTAGAACTATGTAAGCACTATATAAATTTTAGCTAATTTACTTATGTGTAATTTACTTACTTACTTTACTTGTAATTTCTATCATTATTCCATAGTGGTCCATGTTATGAACAACACAAAAATAAAATCAGAAACCTGGCCTTTTAAATAGATAATTTAATTTATTTTAATTTTAACATCGATATGAGAAGAAATTTCAGTGAATAACCAGCAATTAATTAAAATAAGTTAAACAGAGGCTATAACATACTTGCAAGGTATTAGGAGATTCTAGATGAGAGATTCATTTTCCTTTTGAAGATAAGGAGAAAAGAAGAGCATCATTAATTAATGAGGTATAATTTTGGCTAAGTTTGAAGAAAGAGAAGAAGAGTGAACAGAACCAAAGGGAGGATATTTCATATTAATATCATAACATGAGTTATGGTAGATGCCAAAAATGCCAGCTGAATAGTATATTGTATGATCAATAGTCATATAAAAGGTTTTAATACTTTCTTAGACTATTTGTAAGTCTTGTTTAGTTCAGTAAGCACTGAACTGTCACTGATTGTGATATTTTTATTTACTAAATTTTTTTTCAGGAAAAACTCATATTTTCACAAATTTCCTTCCCCGTGTGTTCGGATTCTTGTTTTTTGTCTCCTGCATTGGCCATTTGTACCAAAAGGCTACAACAGCAGTGAATACATTTTCAGATTGCTTCTTCAGAAACAAAAGAAAACTGTTACCTCTTCTTTCTAATTTATCTCATTATGCTATTATTTTTATTAACCTTTTATTTATTTGTTCATTTATTTTCTGCTTCTGAGTATAGTGCAGTAAAGCCAGTATCCTTGAAAAGATAAGAAATGTTTTTAAATCACCATATTTTTCTTATCATGATAGAGAATTAGACCAAATGAGTCTCTTTTTCTCTGAAAATAAAAGACCTCTAAAGAGCTGCATATTTATAGTTTTGAGAAATTTACAAGTGCATTAGAAATGTTCTCTGAGATACACCAAGTCAGATTTAATTAATGGAAGAATTAAGAGACATGCTTTTCACTGACCAAATTGGATTACAATACTGCAAATCTTAGCAGAATTCTGCTAGTTCTGATTCAGAATAACCTTGAAATTTTTGATTCTACGCTATGCATTCAATGTTAGTTATTCAAGGAACTCTCACATAATTATATTTAGACTGAATTCCATTATAAAGAAACCAGGTTGTTTGTAGAAAAGGGCTCATAATTACTTCAAAATTTAAATTTATGGTTACCATATGGCCATGTAGAAAATAGAGTCAATTTAACCTTTAAATTAAGATGTTTTGAATAGTACATGTAATCTTTCATAGCAGTAAATAAGTATTGACCTAAGTTTTTATCATATTGAACAAACATAATGCTTCATAGATTTACTTGCAGTTATTGGAATTGTTTATTCATCAAAAACACTTTTACGTCTTCAAAAGTCCTTATGGGTAACCATCTCGCTCTGCTGTTACATAAACGAAAACTCTTCTGTAATTCTCTGTGTGTTAAAATATTGTCTAACATATTTGGAGGACAAGAGGAAAGAAATCAAAGACAAATCTTTAATTTAAAATTTTTGAGAGCCTAAACAATGCTATAAGATCTAAAAGCATATAGGTCATATTCCTGTAATCTTTTCAGACCATGGAATCTGTGAAAGTTTTAATTCCAAGCTCTTCCTGGGTTCAGCCTCAGTTAATGTCTCACTGTTAACCTTTACTCTCTTTCAATTCCTCTCTTTCCACCTCTCTCACTTTCAATTCTATATTCATAACTGTTTATACATTAAGTTCTGAAATATGGTGTAAGAATTCTTAGTATTTAAATTAAATTGAACTAAGTTAATAAATAAATACAGGTCTCACTACACTAATACAATGTCACAAAAACAAAATAGGCTCATGATTTTATATTTAGAGAAGAAAATAGAGAATAATATTGAATTAAACTCTGAAGACTCTAATGAATGTTCCCACTTTTTCCATTTCCATTTATACTCAAGTCCTTGTCACTAGAATTGACTAATGCTGTCTTAATTTCTGTCCTCTATGAAACTTTTTCAGAAGAAATAAAGCGCTGCAAATTTTATATCCTGAAGTTTTTAACAGCTAATGAGCCTGACTCTCCCACGAAGAATGGACCACTGTGATCAAACATGGGCAAAGGGATGGAAGCGACTGAAGAAAGTGACTCATCGATGTTGGCAGCGATCCTTTTAATTACTGTGTTCTGGTTCTTCCAGTCATACCGGACTTAGTCCTATGCCATCGGATGGTCAGTGCTGTTCTTTCTGAAGGAAATTCCAGAACCTTTTAATCTTCCAAGTCCTAAGTTGCTTCCACTGTGCAACAGAATCAGATACATGCTACTACTGTGTGGAATTTTTTACCAACTAGTGAGGCAATGGTTCTAGTTGTTCTTCTGTTTTTTCTGTGAGAAAAACAAGACAATTATCTGAGGTAAGAGTCAATTCAAGCCAAAGCTTTTGTGAATCTCATAACCTTCAGTAATTTTTTTCAGCTCTGATTCCGGTTATGCCCTACCATGCTTTAAAATGCTTGGCTTCTAGGAACTCGTCAAAGCAAAGAGCACTTATCAAAGTGATGTGTGCTCAGAAATATAGCACATATTCATGTACACACATGTGCAGACATCTGCACACATGGGTGTTTTAAAGTTTTACCCTAGAATTCAGCCATCCTAAGTTAAGTGTTTCCTTTAAATACAATTCTCTATGCAAGGTCTGAAGAAGGTAGGTCACCTATTCTAGTTATCTGTCAATAACTTATTTATGAATCTTTTCCTGTCCCAAGGGTGGCTTGATGCTGATATTCATTGCTTGATGATACTTGTGAAATTTCTGTATCTGGTCAGTTTCAGAAAACTAAAACAAAATAAGCATCATCGAAATGTCCAGCACATTAAGTCCGTAGAAGTAGTCAACTAAGACTCTGAAGACATTATTAGCACTGTGTCTGAAGACTAAATGTGAACATACCCAGTCTTACCAGGTAATTACTTTAGTCTTCGCTGCTTATCTCTAACGTAATGGAAGAGTAGACCTTACCAAGCCTTGAATTTTCAGTGTGTTTCTTAACATCCCAAACTATTTCTTAGTGCTAGTTGATCTTTCTAATAGGGTTTTGTTTTGTGTTTTAACTCAGGACCTTGAGCTGGTAAAGCAGGCATGCTACATCCCTGGCTCTCTAATAAAGTTTTAACTGTAAATTTATTTTTATGTTTTTAAAAATCATGTCTTTTTTATTAATTTATTTGCACTTTAGGCAACATAAAAAACTAAGAATACCTTATTCAGTATGAATAAATGGAAGAAACATATAGAAAGTTTTCTTCTAATAAGTCAAAGAAATTAAAAATAAAGCTGTTTGAGATAATTTATAAATATTCATCAGTAGTAGTCATCAAACAATAAATTTCAGGATAAATTCATTTTCTAAATCTTCCGCATGCTAATATTTGTGAACATTCAGCAATAAAATGCATGGTACGAGGCAGAAACCGATGTCCTCTCTGATTACATGGCAGATGCCTGGAGCCCAGGTCCTCTGATAATCAGTCACTGAGTAGAATCCGGTAACAAGGGACTGAAATATACATTTACCCATTCTCCTAATTCTGGGGAATATCTTCTAATATCTTTCAAAGGAAACGAGTTCCTACTATCTTTGAAAGCAAATGGCTTTCCGTGAAGATCTGGAACACAAAAAGAAATCAGACAGCGAAGCCTACCCTAATACAAGCCCAGGCTTGTAGCTCCCCATACAACAGTGATGACCAGACACTGAAACCCTTCACTCCTGTGAATACATTCTTTGAAACAGGTTATTATTATTTTTTTCTGTTTGACTAATTTACTTTAGCGCCATTATGTTCTTGCCATTTGGTGTTTAATGATATTTTGACTTCCCTTTTGTTTTAAAGTTTTGTATCCTTAAACAGCTGTCAGAGGCGGTGCTCATGCTGAATTTGGAAAAGATGCCAAACGTAAGGCTGCACTGCAATAACGACCTCTCAGCGCATTGCACCCTCTGCCACCTACCTTCTGACTTTCTGGGTACCCTAACTTCGGACTCACTCCATAATCGCTCCTCTGTCCTGTGGATCTCAGGTCATTTCATTCACTCTTCCACTTGCTATCCTGCACCCCTACTTCTCTCAAACTCCTGTTCTGTACATTAGAGCATCGTGCAGCTGCCCCACAGCTGCTCAGGTACAAGGTTCCCACGAGGCCACGCTCGGCCCTCTTGGGTCTGACTCTCCAACCTGTGCCGCTCGGCATAGCCAGATGTTAAGTGAATTGAATAAAAAAAGTAAATATGTAATGGGCTGTTGGTACATATTATGAATTAAAAGAAAATAATGTCATAATATGGTAGGGATGTTAGGCTTAATTTAAATATGGAATCCTTGAAAAGTTGCTAAGAATTAAAATGGCCCAAAAGATGTATATATATCACATGCAGCAGATAATATTGATATTTCATATTTTAACAAGTTTTTAAATTTGTTTAGAGATATGATTATCTATAAAGCAATGGACAGGAGATTAAATCAGGTCCATGAACTGAAAGAGAAATCAACTGAAAAAGAAGTTTAGAAATAAACAGACATATGATAATAGTTATATCTCATATCATTGAGGGAAAGACAACTATTGTCAGCTCAAGGGCCTGCGTTCAATCCCTGTTATCAAAAAAAAAAAAAAGAATTGATGAGATTAAGACTATTGAATTATATTTAAAAAACAAACTTTTCATAACACACACAACAAAATTCAAATGGATAAGCAGTGTATATATATATATATTGCCAGGAAGAAAATTTAAGTTCTCTAAAATATGGATATGGAAAAGGCTTCCCAAATGAAACAAAAATTAAATACAATTAAAATAAAATATTTATTGATTAACAGTTTTAAAATATTGAAAACAACTCTCTATATATATCAGAAGCAAAATCACATGACAACAAACTAAAGTAAGATGTTTGGAAAATACTTCAAAATAAAATATTTCCATTCTTAATAATAAAAAATAACTTTATTTTGTTAAAAGCCCCAGTATCTTATATGAAAATCAGAAAATCACAGCCCCAGTATCTTATATGAAAATCAGAAAATCACAGGAAAAACAATCCACAAAAGTTATAAAAATGTCCAATAAGCATAAGGAATTCAATTTCTCTCCTAATGAGAGAAATACAGTTCAGAGTACAGTGAAATTTCACCTGTCACTCACCACACTGGGAAACATCAGAAGCTCTTCAATTAGCAAGGACAAAGGAAAGCAGGCACTCACTGATTTTGATGGAAGTAAAAATCACGGCAGAGAGGAAGGGTGTGCGCGCAGTATTCAGCACAACAGTCCCACTCCCAGGTATGCGTTTTCCAGGCACAATTTCAGGCACATACAATTTGGTACAACATTATATGTAATTTGTAAAATGTTGAAAACCAGTTCGATATTATAGGAAGAACCAAGAGTAGATTCACTTTACCATGCGTGATTATTGTGTGCAGCTATAAAAACTGAATATCTGGGAAGTTATGTGGAGGATGTCTAGGAGATATCGCCAGGTAATAACACCAAATGTGTGTGTTTGTACAAAAGTTCATAGAACTTGTACAAAAGGGAAAGAAAACCAAGGTAGTATGTACACAAACACACACACACACTTGTACAATATATAAAACTATATAAATTCAATAATAATAGAAGGTTAAATGTATAGAAATAAAATCAAAGCACATTGAAGTCCATATGTCGCATGTATTTCAGGTGTGATCAGGTATGTTCAGGGTGGCATGCCCATAGACCTTATATATTTAAAATCAATGCAAAAACCAGCATGTGAGTGTGTGAAAGAGTGAGAGAGAAAGAAATGGGAAACTATATAAATTCAATAATAATAGAAGGTTAAATGTATAGAAATAAAATCAAAGCACATTGAAGTCCATATGTCGCATGTATTTCAGGTGTGATCAGGTATGTTCAGGGTGGCATGCCCATAGACCTTATATATTTAAAATCAATGCAAAAACCAGCATGTGAGTGTGTGAAAGAGTGAGAGAGAAAGAAATGGGCAGAGCTCAAGTAACTTTAGAAAACAGTATCTGACAATATACAATAAACTGTAATACTGTTAGGAGTAGAAATTGCAAAATAAATCTTCAGTTCTTCTTAGGTCTATTTTTATAGTAGTGTGCAAAAACTGTAAGAATTTTAGACATTATAGGACAGGTCAAAATACTTTAGATAGAGATATATTATGTATGTTAATATTAAGGTTTGTAGCAAAAAAAAAGAGATGAAAAATACAGAAGGGAGATGTAAAAATAGATATTTGGATGCACTGGAATCAGAAGTGCTACTCTAAATTCATGATTTATAACATATGTATGTGCATAATTTCATTCAAATATCCTGTATTTATGAATGTGTATCTTCATAGATAGATGAGAATTACTATGAGTGATATCTATTTGTGTTGTATACATATGTTTGTGTATTACATGTGGACATATATTCTCTAGCTCTGTCTCCTGAAAAGATGAGGACACAATAATATTCCAAGAATAGTAAGCACATCTGGAGGTTAGATATTGGTCCCTAGTAGCCTTTTTCACTGCAAGAAAGCAAAGGACTTTTTAGAAAGTCTCTTAGAACATCCAAATACAGTAATGATTGATTTGAGATGTCTTATGCCAGATAATAAAGAAGTAATAATGATATAAATAACATGGGACATGTTTCTGGCCAAATCTGGGACAGTTTAAGGAGCAAAGTAATTCAACACATTTATGAATTATAAGTAATTACACCATAGAACATTAAACAAGAGAGAAATACATCAATACGTATAATTATATACCTGAGGGCTATTGAGAAGAGACAAATTGAAATACAAGCATTTTTCAAGTATATTAAGAGTCAGTCAAACAAAAAATCATCAATGGATACTATATACAGGAAGAAATTATAACAGAGAATAGGTTACATGTGTGTCTTTAGATGTTTAAATGATTGGTACAAATAAAAAATAAACAGGTATAACTAAAGCAAACAGAATACCTTTATAATTTCATCAGAATCAACATCACCAATAGAAAGTTAGGGACTGTTTTTACTCAAAGTATGAATCGCCAAGAAGAACAAATTACCACAGATTATAATTTGGTCAATAATGCACTGGAGGGAACTCGGGGAGATGACTGCGGACACAATGAATGACCAAAAGCTGATGGCTAATGGCAAAGATTATTTCTCACCCACGGTCTTTATAGTACACTTCCAAGGCCACACCAAAAAGCACGATTAACAGCAGTTATGAGAAGTGATTAACAGCAGTCATGAGCAGATACACATTGTTCAAACTAAAGACATGACATCTAGATAAAAAGCATCTGTTTATGATTAAAAGGGAGTATAAACCGGAAATAGGAATAAAGAAGAGATTAGGAGGTTGTTTGTGGGTCGAGGAACTTGGCTCCAGCACGTCAGCTTCAGGACACCTGCGTCCCGGTGAGAACCAGCATTCCGGGGCTCGGGGTCAGCGCTTCGGCCGTCCGTCCTCTCGTGCCCCAGCAATGCATAGTATAACTTGATTATGATCGTGCGGAAATATGAGACAAGTTCAAAATGAAAAAGAAACAACATTTGTTTTTAAAATGAACAAGGCAACAGTATTCCTCAAAATATATCAATTTTATGTCCGACAATAAAAGGCTTTGAAAATATTCCAGATTAAAGAAAGCTGAAGTGGTATGACAAATGTAATACTTTTATCTACCTTGAATTTCACATTGGGAATGAAAACAAATGTTATAAATAGCACTTTAGCTATATTTGGATAAAATGGAATTTGGGTGGTATTTTAAATAAATGATTAAATCAACACTAGATGCACTGAGTTGTAATTATACCGTCATTTTTTAGTAATATCTGTATTCTGAGAAATTGCCAACTGATGCGTGTAAGGGAGAAGTCCATTATGTAGCAAGGTTAACCTCAAATATTGAAAGAGAGAAACTTAGATCACAGACTCAGGGAAAGCAAATGATAAAGTAAACGAGACGAAAGTTTAAATAGATAATGACAGCAAAAACTATACAGATGTCCTTAGGAATATTTTCATTCTTGCACCTATTTAAGTTTGAAATTATGTCCAAATAACTAATTTAAATTAAAAAAATTACAATACTTGTAACCATTTTTAGCAACTTTGGAAAAGGAGGAGTGAATGGTCTAAGTAATGATGCCTTGGTTGGCTGAAGATTATTAGAAATGCACATTATTTATTCCTAATGAATTCTTTGATAGGTTGTGTAGCTACAGGAAGTTTTCATTCACAACACTGGAAATCAGACGTTTGCATCTGGATCCAGTTCTGGTGAACTCCTTGACCAGCCAGACAACCCCAATAAGCATAGCAAGACATTAGAGGAGACGTGGTTGGAAAAGCAATAAAAATAAATTTCAATACGAATTTATTGTGTATTGAAGCGCGTTGCTTTTCTTCCATATTTCTGAAAAGCAAGAGACCAGTTAGGCTCGGGATGTCACATAAAATTACCCTAAAAGATGAAAATTGCCTGTAATGTTACGTGAGTGGGTAATAAAAATGACTTGTAAAATATTAAATAGGAAGAGTGTGTCTCAGGTGTAAAATAACATTTACAAGCTGCTTCAAGTAGACAAATCAGCATTATTTTTCCACATAAAAATTTATCCTTTAATTTGTGAGTTTTATAAATTTAGATGATCTGATCAACCACTAAGTGACTGAGAATGACTATCACATTTCTGCATTATAAAACAATTTCATCACATTCAAGCCTTTGAAATGTTCGCTTCATGTTTATCATGAAATTTAGTAAGATACACTGTAGAAACTATACTTTAAATCTCAAAATATAGATCAAATCATGGATCTCCTAGTTACTATGATGATCAATCATTTTTATACTAAATGTAAATACTAAATACTTACACTAAATATTTTATACTGTATAGTAACATTTATTTTAATTTATTCATTAAATAAGTGTTGGCTATTTATTTCTTGAAATCCATTGTCTTAAATTCCCGGGAAGCAATCGTAAATGAAACCATATTCCTGGGATGGACAATCTCAGTGTGGAGG